TCCTGCTTAGCTGGCCAGATTTGTTTTTGTAGTCATCAGCCTTTGGCAAGCTTCAGTGAGAAAGAGAGAGCAAGTTGATTTTTTTTTTTTTTTTTTGCCTGTACTGGGGCTTGGAACTATGGGCTGGGGTACTGTCCCTGAGCTTTTGCTCAAGGCTAGCACTCTGCCACTTGAGCCACTTTTGTCTTTCTCTGTGTTTAATTGGAGATAAGAATCTCACAGGCTTCCTGTCCAGGCTGGCTTTGAACTGAGATCCTCAGATCTCAGCTTCCTAAGTAGCTAGGATTACAGATGTGAGCCACCAGTCCCACTAAATTAATGCCTTTAATATATGGCAGCTTATATCTTTACATCACTTGCTAGTGCCCCATCTGACCAAGTATAGCCCAGTTTCTCAGCTTCCATTCTCTCTGTGGGCTGTGTGAAAAAAAGTTGATAATGTCCCATGGTATGATGATGTCTTACTGGGGAGTTGAATCACACCACAAAGCAAAATTTAGCCACCATAGGCCAGAGAACTCAGTGACACTGCTCTTGAAGTTTGCAAAGGCTGAGGGTCTCCAGTTCACCTTTTTTTGAGCCAAATTTTAGTTTTCCCTGCCACATGAGCTTTCAGCTGTACTCAAACTGCAGACAAATCAACACATTAGGGTCATCTAGTAACTGAAGAGCATAGTCCCAGAAGGGCGGACTTTGAAAAAAAAAACAAAAAACAGCCCTTAGATTTGGTCTGTAATTTAGCAGTCATTGATGATGCAGCTCTTAACAGAGGAAGAATTGACTTTGAACTAGCAAACCAGACTCACATAATCCCACATACAGCATATATAATCAATTCTTGGAAAGGTGCATGTGCAATTACTTTTCTATGCCAAATTTGTCCTGCGTGGTAGAGTGAGCCCTAGCAACTAAGGATTCTCAAGGACTGTCACTTGAGACAGGGAGCACTCAACCTAGAGATTCGAGTCTTCCACAAAGGTCCAGAAGAGATTTCACTTTTCACGACATATATTCAGAGGAGGCAGATCTGTGTTCATGTGTTTCAAGGCAGCCCCACAGGAGTACTGAGGAAAGGAAAGCTGGTCAAAAGCAAGACTTTGTAATTATGCCCCATGTCTTAGGAGTTAGTGAAGCCCCTCCATCCTCCTTTCCCCTCTCCCCCTTCCATTACTTCCTCCCTCCTTTGATAAATGGAACTGAGCCCAGAGCTCCGTGTATGCAAAGCAAATGCTCTACTACTTGATCCACCCATACTCCACTCCTCCCATCTGCTCCCCTTTCCTCCCCCCTTTCCTTTCTTTCCTTTCTTTTCCATCTTTCTTCCTTTCTGGTCCTGGGGCTTGGGCTTAAGGCTAGTGCTCTACCACTTGAGCCACAGCTCTTTGTGGCTTTTGGAGGTTAATTGGAGATAAGAGCCTCATGAAATTTTCTGTCTGGGCTGGCTTTGAACCAAGATCCTCAACTCTCAGCTTCCTGAGTAGCTAGTATTATGGACATGAGACGTGTGTGTGTGTGTGTGTGTGTGTGTGTGTGTGTGTGTGGACATGAGACGTGTGTGTGTGTGTGTGTGTGTGTGTGTGTGTGTGTGTGTGTGTTTATACCAAGATTTGAATTCAGGGCCTTTTGTTTGCTAAGTGGGTGCTCTAGCACTTGAGCCATTCTGCCAGCACCTGTGTGCTTTGTTTCTGAGACAGGGTCTTGCTAAATTTGCCAGGTCTGGCCTTGAACTATTTCTTCTGTAGTAGTTTGTCTTTCTTCAAGTTACCAGACTTTCAGTATTGTCCTTAGTTTTCTTTTTCTTTAGATTTTTCTTTGCCTTCCTTTTATGCTTTCCCACTTTCCAAGGGTGATTTCTGCCCATTTTAACAGCCTCTCTCTCCTGAAATTCTGTTTTTTTCTTATTGTGAAAATATTGTACAGAGGGGTTACAATTACATGAGCAAGATAATGAGTACATTTCTTATCAAGCATTGTAGCCTCCTCCTTTGTTTCCCCTTCCCATCCCTTCCCATCCTACCCCTGCCCTCCCCAATCCACCCCCCCCCCGCACCAATAACAACTTGTACATCTCATTGTTGCAATGGGTCCACCTGTATCCCTGTCTCCTGAAATTCTATTATTTAATGGGTTGGCTTAAGTAAAGACAGGGCACACCATGAACCCAAGCTCTGTGGACACTAGAGGTTTCAAATGTAAGGAGGGGATACCAGCTTGAGCAGATAAGAGAGGTATCAGAAACAAGGTCCTGGCGAGTGTCAGCTTGGCCTGGTGGAAAGTCCCCAGAAGGACAGAGAGCAGTGAGCTCACATGCTTCCACTGGGGTTCAGGGATGGGACTCCGTGGGAACTGTCTGGGTCACTCAAGTTTCCAACGGGATGGTTTCTTTTTTAAAAGAGCCAGAGTGGTTGGGGAAGAGCTGTGTGCTAAGTTGTGGGTTTAAAACCCAGAGCCCTCTGAAGGTTGGAGCAGTTTTCTAGGAGGGATGTTGATCTCTTTAGTTATGGATACAAAACCCTTAGTGACCAGTGTCAGCTGTAGTTGGCTAAGTATTATTGCCTTGAAATTTAAGATGTTTCAGTATGGACATTTAATACTTCAGAGGCTATTACTTATTTTTAAACCAGTTAAAATGATAAAGCCACTGTGTGTGTGTGTGTGTGTGTGTGTGTGTGTGTGTGTGTGTGTCTGTGTCTGTGTCTGTGTCTGTCTGTCCATCTGTGTGCCTGCTTGTCTGTGCATATGTGTGTGGGGCTCGTATGCACACCGGTTCCAGGACTTGAACTCAGGACTTGTACACTGTCGCTAAGCTGCTTTCCTCAAGGCTAGCACTCTACCACCTGAACCACAGCTCCATTCCCCACTTTTTGGTGGTTAATTAGATAGGAGTCTCATAGACTTCCTGCCTAGGCTAGCTTCAGACTGCCATCCTCAGATCTCAGCTTCCTGAGTAGCTAGGATTACAGGCATGAGTCACTGGCACCCAGCAATAAAGCCACTTCTTGAAAAATAGATTTCAAGCTGGGTGCTGCTGTGCTGTTTATGCCTATAATCCTAGCTACCAGGAGGCTGAGATCTCAGGATCCTGGTTCAAAGCCAGCCAAGTCAGGAAAACCCGTGAGACCCTTATCTCCAATTAACTACCAAAATAGCTAGAAATTGAGCTATGACTCAAGGGGTAGAGCCCTAGCCTTGAGCACAAAAGCTCAGGGACAGTGTTCAGGCCTTAAGTTCAAGCCCCAGGACTGGCACAAAAAGAAATTATTTTCAGTTCAATTCGAATTTTCTTTTGTGTGTGCTTCGAGACATTTTTGTTATATTTTATCTAATATTGTATGTTTTATATTACAGAATAGATTAGTCTTTTGCATTACAGAAATAACAATTCTCAAAATACGATTTTCATAATACTTAATCATGCCTGACTAGACACAACAAGGTCAACCACTCTTCATTTGTCCCCTTTTCCATCCCATACCTATGTCTTATTGGAGCATCTCTTCTGTGCCAGGCTTTGCTATAGCAGTAGGGATAGGAGTAAGACACTTCATCCCCAAATGGACTCTAATCTGATAGGGAGAACTTGATAGATGCAAACAAAAGGTTGAATTCTCCCTGCTCTTGGAAGTGGTGCTGTGGCTCAAGCGGTAGAGCGCTGGCCTTGAACTGAAGAGCACAGGGATAGCGCCCAAGCCCAGAGTTCAAGCCCCACGACCAACCAAAAAACCCCCCCAAAAACCTGGAAGTGGAGCTATGGCTGAAGTGGTAGAGTACTAGCCTTAGCAAAAAGGCGCAGGAACCTTTAAGCCCAAGGACAAACACACACAAAAATCAAGCAAGGATAGAATATAATCAAGATTGTAGTTTAGAAAGATCATTCTTTTTCATGGTGTTTTGAATCTTTAGCAGACCAGAATACTGGTTAAGTTGCTGCTAAACAATTCAGGAAAGAAGTGAAAATCCAAGGAAAGATTACACAGGAAAGTATAAAGAAGAGAAAGTAGAACTGAAGTCATTTAATAGGCAGAACTAGCGGGCTTAGTGACCAATAGGATGAGGAAGGGCTCTAAAGATGACCTCAGTTTCTTTTTATTATTACTAATTAATTAATTGTAAGTGGTCAAATAAAAGTCGTACATACTTCTTGTGTATAAACAGGACGTCTTAAAACATATATCCATTGTGGAATGCCTGAGTCAAGCTAATTAACTTGTACATTACCTCACATATTTACATTTCTTTGTGGTAACTAAAAGTGTTGAACTCATAGAAGCAGATAGTAGAGTGAGGAGCTGGGAGGTGGAGGAGAGAGTTGCAGAGATGTTGGTCCAAGTATATAAAAGTCATATTAGTTCTATATAAAACTTAAACAGGAGGCGGAAGGTTGAGAAGTCTGTTGTGTACTATAGTGACTCTAGTTGATAAAAATAGATACTATATCCTGGAAAATTGTCGACTAGTTGGCAGGTGACCTTGAAGTTTCTGATGAGATTTTCATCGTTCCTGAGACTGCAAGTAGAGAAAGAAGGCTGGTCTGAGGGCCAGATGATGAGTTGGTTTTGGACTTGTTCCAAAGATTAAATGGACAGATACTACATATAGATTGATAATCTAGTTGTCTAGGTATAATTTTTTTTTGGGGGGGTCCGGTCGTGGGCCTGAACTTTGGGCCTGGGCACTGTCCCTCAGCTGTTCAGCTCAAGGTTAGCGCTCTACCACTTGAGCTACAGCACCACTTCGGGCTTTTTTTTTTCGAACCCCAGGCCTCATGCATGCAAGGCAAGCGCTCTACCACTGAGCCACCTTCCCAGCCCCTGGCTTGAAATTTTAAGTCTGTGAGAACATACATTTTATGTTCTGACTTCCTCAGTACTTCGGGCATGCACTTATTTCTCATAAAATGCAATATGCCTTTCAGGGCAGAAGTGAATGAAATTATGAATATGTTCCTGTTATTACTTCATAACTTGGGGAGAAGGCTTATAATGGCTTCTGTGTTTCAGGTAATTCAAAGGTCCATGGTGCCAGCCAGCCTAAGCCTGCTTACCTTCAAAGTCTATGCAGCAGCACCAACACCAAAAAAGGATTTGCTTCACAAAAATTCCATGAAGATCGATGAGGTAACACCTTTTGAATGTCTGATTTTAGTTACTGTAAGAGTTTTTACAGGTTATAAATCAGTAGGACAGAAGATTTTGGTGTTTTTATTGGTGAAGTTCTGGAGATTAAATCCAGCACCTTGCAGATTCTAGCCAAGCACCCTATTCTTGAGCCCTCCCTTTAACCCAGATATGGTATATTTAAAAGGAAGAAATGTGTTTTCTTACACTTTGTTTTCTGTGTCCAGGCGTTGTGGCATAAGAGAGTGCGACTACAGAGTCCCACTTACTTGGGAAGCTCAAGTAGGAGGGCTGAAAGTTTGAGGACAATCGAGCCTGCATAGTGAAGCCCTGTCTCAAAATAAAATTTAAGAAGGGTAGGGGGTATAGCTCAGCACACTTGGCTAGTATGAGCAGTACTCTATTATTACAAAAAGGTTACCATTTCATAAGTCAGATGAACACGTACAATGTCACCCTGTTTTTAGCTTCCCCTCCACAGTATCCTCTGTAGTCTAATCTTACTGTTGCCAAGAAAATTATGAAGCTGATCCAGGCACCGGTGGCTCACACCTGTTAATCCTAGTTACTCAGGAGGCTGAGATCTGAGGATCACATTCGAAGTCAGCCCAGTCCTCAAGAGACTCTTATCTCCAATTAACCATTCAAAACTCAGAAGTGGCGCTGTGGCTCAAAGTGGTAGAGCACTAGCCTTGAGTAAAAGAACTCATGAACAACACTCAGGCCCTGAGTTCAAGATAATTACTAAGCTATGTCCTTATCAGCAGATGAACTTTAATAATACTTAACTGGGGGCATAATTAAGGAATATTTTATAGATTTTTTTTTTTTGGTGTTGGTCCCGGGGCTTGAACTCAAGGCCTGGCCACTGTCCCTGAGCTCTTTTTTGCTCAAGGCTAGCACTCCACCACTTGGGCCATAGCTCTACTTCCAGCTGTTTTTGTGGTTAATTGGAGATAGAGTCTCAGGGACTTTCCTGCCTGGGTTGGCTTTGAACCATCATCCTCAAATTTCAGCTTCTTGAGTAGCCAGGATTACAGGTGTGAACCACCAGTGCCCAGCCTTTTACAGATTTTTCTTTTTAGTGTGGAACCTGCCATTATCACATTAGCTGATAAGCAAGACTCACTTTTCTAAGTAGCCTGACTGATTCTGGACCAATTATCAAAGCAAGAAAACATTCACATTCACCAAGAAACTAGAAACATGAATCCTTTCTGCTTCTTGTCTTTGAATTTGGCTATGGACAAAGCTACCTTCAGTCTCCCCTTTGGAGTTACTTGAATGATGTTTATATAAAGCTAATTAGCTTATCTTTTGCACTTTACTCTCTTCTCAAGCCTTGGGAACAGTGGTTCAAATGACAGGGGTCAGAAGTCAGCCAGCAGTGGCTTTGAGAAGTTTCTACTCTGAGGGGGAACAAACTGTCTCTCCTACTTTCATGAGTCCACACTGTTCATTCTCACTGACTAACCAGTTATTCATTTACTTTCACATGTTTTTTTAAACCTCCATATACCCTTTAGAGTAGGAATAAGGAACCTATTTTTCTGCCAAGAGCCATTTGAATGTTGATAATAACATTTGAGGGCCATTACAAAATTTCCAATATAGGCAAGAGGCTGTGAGCAGCAGATATTTCCTACCCTTGCATTAGAGTTATAGAATCATTTTTCCAAATGAAGTCTGAGGTACAATGCCACATAACAGAATTAAAAAGAGTTGGCTGGGAAGGTGGCTCAGTGGTAGAGCGCGTGCCTTGCATGCCTGAGGCCCTAGGTTCGATTCCTCAGCACCACATAAGCAAAAAGAAAAAAGCCGGAAGTGGTGCTGTGGCTCAAGTGGTAGAGCGCTAGCCTTGAGCTGAAGAGCTGAGGGACAGCGCCCAGGTCTAGATTTCAGGCCCACGACCGGACCCAAAAAAAAAAAAGAGTTAAGGGTGTAGTTCATGCTAGAGTGCTTGCCTTTTGTGCTTGAGGCCCTGCATTCAGTCCACAATACCACCAAAAAATACAACAAAAACAGATAGAAGGGAGCTGTTATGCTTCCTAGCAATGGATTTGGAGGGCATAGGACATTTTGGAGGCCTGCTCCCTTTTCCTTGTCCTTATCAAAGCAAGGTACAACGATCATCTGAAGTCAAGTTATAGATTTCATATAACTCTTATGGTCACTGAAATTTATGGATTAACAGAAATATTATAGTATTTCTAATATTTGTAGGTATACCTACAAATGTGATGGCTTATTATATGATCTCATTAATGGATATGATGTTTTGATTTTGTTTTAATATCTGCAGCTTTCACTCTACTCAACTCCTGAGACTCACTTTAAATATGTGGAGAAACCAAGAACCCAACTTGAAGAAAACATCTCAGAGCTTCGACAGCAGTTTGAACCATATACAAGTTGGTGTCAGGTATGGCTTTTTACAGTCAGTAGTGAAAGTCTGCACTGAGAAGAGTCTTAAGTTGACTACATGTTTTTGGAAAATAGCATAATAGAGCTGGGCATCAGTGGCTCATGCTTGTATTCCTAGCTCAAATCTCAATATCATGGTTTAAAGCCAGCCTGGGCAAGAAAGTCCATGAGATTCATTTCCCATTAACTGTAAAATCTGGAAGTGGATCTGTGGTTCAAGTGGTAGAGTTCTAGCCTTGAGCACAAAAGCTTAGGGATAGCACTCAGACCCAGAGTTTAAGCCCCAGGACTGGCACAAAAAATGGCACAATAGAAGGCCCAAATTAAGGGTTCCCAACTTGCCAGGCACTGGTAGCTCATGCTTGTAGTCCTAAGATTATAAGAAGCTAAGATCTGAAGATCACAGTTCAAAGCCAGCCTGGGCAGGAAAGCCTGTGAGACTCTTATCTCCAATTAACCATCAAAATGCTGGAAATAGAGCTGGGCAAAGTGGTGTATAGCCTTGACCAAAAAAGCTTAGGAACAGTGCCCAGGCACAGAATTTAAGCCCTAGGACTGACACGTAGACAGACAAAGAAAGAAAGAAAGAAAGTTAAAGAAAGAAAGAAAACCTACAAGTTATTTTCTCTTATGTCACATTATAGTTGTTTATTCCTGCTTCAAGTGAGTACGTTCCAATTGTAGGCCCCCAAATGGGTAGAGAGCCTTTTCTCCTAAGGGCCATTTGAATATTTATAACAGAATTATCAGACTATATAAAGCTATCAATATCGGGAGATGGGTTATAGGTAGCCAGTGAGAGCCAGCCAGAAGTGTACATGTCTGTCCTGCAATGTAACAAAAGGTTTTACAGACCTTATATGGCCCTTGGGCTGGACGTTCTCCCCCTTCCTCCCCATGCAATGACAAATTAGGAAATAGAGTTAGTAACAAAGACAGATTTAATCTCCTAGGGACAGAATTCGCTCTGTAATTATCAAGAGGATTGATTTTTCTGTTTCCTTCCGTTTTTTTTTATTTTTATTTTTTTGGTTAGTCATGAGGTTTGAACTCAGGGTCTAGGCTCTGTCACTAAGCAGTCTATCACGTCTGGTTTTCTGGTGATTAATTGGAGATCAGAATCTTTCAGACTTTCTGCTCAAGCTGGCTCTCAAGTGCCATCTTCAGATCTCAGCCTCCTGAGTAATAGATGACAGGCATGAGCTACCAATGTTCCGCTGTTTCCTTCAGCTTTTTGTTTTTTTTGGGGGGGGGATCTGGTCGTGGGGCCTGAACTCTAGGCCTAAGCGCTGTCCCTCAGCTCTTCAGCTCAAGGCTAGCACTCTACCACTTGAGCCACAGCGCCACTTCTGGCTTTTTTTCTTTTTGCTTATGTGGTGCTGAGGAATCGAACCCAGGGCTTCAGGCATGCAAGGCAAGCGCTCTACCACTGAACCACCTTCCCAGCCCCTTCCTTCCATTTTAAGAGTGAGAAGTCTGGCGGTGAGAAGGCTAATGAAGAGAGTGAATAGGATAAACCTCGTTGAAGTTCTTTATATACATATGGATGAAAATAGAACAACAAAAGCTGTTGAAATTATTTTAAGAAGGGAGAAAGTGATAGATTGAGATTGATGGAGTGCATTGTATACATGTGTGGAAATGTCACCATGAAATCCCTCTCAGAATGAGAAGTTTAAAAGTTGTCAGAACCACCATCTTGGGCATCTTTGCTCCCTATGGTAATAGTAAGCCATTCTTCCAAAGTAGTTTGTAGTGAATAGGACATTGCAAAAGAAAAAAAAAACCCAGAAAACAAGAAAATAGGTTTCTGTTCAAAAGCTGTTAATAACTGATGCTAGAACTTGATGGTAGAGTGCATGAATAGCCTGCCTGAGGCCCTGGGTTTATCTCCAGCACCAAGAAAATGTCAACACTTTAATAATATATTCAGTAAAGGCAAGTATTTGTATTTGTGCCAGTCCTGGGGCTTGAACTGTCAGGGCCTGGGCTACCGCTCTACCACTTGAGCCACAGCCCTACTGCTGGCTTTTTTTGGTGGTTAAATAGAGATAAGGGTTGCACAAACTTTTCTGCTCAAGCTAGCTTCAAACCTCAATCCTCAGATCTCAGCCTCCTGAGTAGCTAAGGTTAGAGGTGTGAGCTATGGCACTGGGCTAAGACAGGTATATTTATTCTGTTACTTTCTAATCAGCCTAGCCTACTTACTCCATTTCTTTTTATCTTCTTAGGATAGATACTGTGAAACTAAGCCCAAGGTGCTGCGTATGATTCAATGGGGGTTAGGTAAGTTGACTTTTAGTTAGACATAATGAGTTACTCCATTAACATTGAACTGTTTAACTGGTGTTCCACGAATGGGCTGTGGAAATTGTATGAAGAATTTTAGAGGAATGTGATTTTTTTTCTGGAAAGATCAATTATTCTCAGATTACAGAGGACTAAGATCATCTAAATGGCTTCTGCATTATTAGGATTGTTGGGCTGGCAAGTACTGATACACTAGATTTTTTTTTTAAAAAATGAGACCAGAAGTAGTGGCTCATATCTGTAATCCCACCTACTTGGAAGGTGGAGAATGAGAGGTTTATGGTGTAAGGCTAGTCCCCACAAGAAGTTAATGAGACTCCCATCTCAACAAACAAGTGGGATATGGTAACTCATGAAGTCTAAGCTATGAGGGAGTCATTGGTGGGAGGATGACAGTCTAAGACTGCCCTGGGGGAAAAAAGCACAAGATCCTACCTGAAAAATATCCCACAAAAACAACACCCACAAATATCCCACAAAACACAACAGTTTCCAAGTACAATGTACACACACTAAATCATTGGTATATTTTCATCATCACAGTAGTTCATTTGCTCTACTGTTGTCACATGCTATAGAAGTTTAGAGGCAGAAAGGAAATGCCATGGGATCCTGGGAAATATCTTATTGCATAATGAGAAGTGTGCTTACATGTTTTTCCATTTGGTTTTCATTGCTCTTGATGGGTTCTCACTTATGGGCCACTTATTACATGCACTCATAAACTGAGTTTATAGTCTATGTTCTGAGCTCAGTCAGAACTAGTAAATTAATAGAGATAGTGATACTATTTCATTCCTCTTGCTAGGCATCTCAGCAAATCAAAACCTTGTTTGTATAAGGTTTTGTGTGTGTGTGTGTGTGTGTGTGTGTGCATGTGCGTGTGTGCGCGTGAGCACGCACATGTGCATGCCAGTACTGCAGCTTGACCTCAAGACCTTGTACTTTTACTTGGCTTTTTCACTCAAGACTGGTGCTCTACAACTTAAGCCATACCTCTGCTTCCATTTTGCGGGATTTGAACTGAGAGTCTCTCAGATCTCAGCCTCCTGAATAGCTAGGATTACAGGCATGAGCTGTCAGCACTGGTAAGATTTTAATCGTTTCTTGATGGAACAAAACAAATGTGTGACTAAGGTCTCTTCCTTGTCACTTGTCATTTTCCATTGATTCATTGTAGTAGACATTGTTTATAATATTTTGTCTTTTTTTTCCTTCTCTTGGATTCTTTTTTTAAAGATTTTTATTAGCATTTATTAGTTGTATAAAAGAGGTTCATTGTGTCAGGCACTAATGGCTCATACCTATGATCCTAGCTATTCAGGAGACTGAAATCTGAGGATCGTGATTCAAAGCCAGCCTGGGCAGGAAAGTCCATGAGACTCTTATTTCCAACTAACCCCAAAAAACTTGAAGTGGAGCTATAGCTCAAATGGTAGAGTGTTACAGTGCTGCCCTGAACAAAAGATGCTAAGGACAGAGCCCAGGCTCTTGAGTTCAAGTCCTAGGATCACCCAAAGCAGTTTCAATGAGATATTTCCATATATGTTTACAATGTGCCCCATCAAACTCACTGCCTTCATCACTCTTCCTCATCCCGTCCTCTCCCCCTTCTTAAAACAATTTTACTAGATTTCATTGCTCTATTTTCATGCACACAAAGACTCTTAAAGAAACATTTTATTATGAGTGGTGGTGTATGCCAGTATAGCCAGTCCATTTTCCAGCAGTCATAGCTAAGTTATGTTACCAGAAGCCAGGCTTTCGCTTCAATCCTTTCTTCCCCAGTCTTTGTGATTTACCCACTTTGGCCCAGCTTGCCAAAGCCAATCTGGGTATCCTCCTATCAGCTGCTCTCTGTGCATGCTCAGAGTTCAGTAACACTTAACTAGTAAGAATAAAAGGAAGTAGGAAATTGCTTCAAAAGACCTAGACAAGAAGAATGAAAATTCAAAGTAGGTTAAAGGGCAAACAATTGAAAAAAACAGATGGGAATAATGCATGCAGAGCATAAAGTCCTATAATAGTATTTAAAATAATTGCCACACTTCTCAAAGAACCTAGGGGAAAGAAAATTGCCATGTATCTGGGTTATGTGAGGGAAAGGATTACTATTCTAGTTATTAGTTCAGTTCAGCTTACATTTGTTAAGTCTCCATTGTGCCAGCCATTAAAGATCAAAGCCAAGCACCTATTATTCTAACACTTGGGAGGCTGAGGCAGGAGAAGCACCGTTCTAGGCCAGCCTTAGCAAGATCCTATCTCAAAAAGTTATTTAATTATTTTAGTGTTGACCTTGGGACTTGGACTTAAGTCCTGGTTGCTACCCTTTAGCTTTTTTGCTCAAGGCTAGCACTCTATCACTTGAGCCACAGTGCCACTTCTGGCTTTTTTTCTGACTAATTGGAGATAAGACTCTCATGGATTTTCCTCCCAGGATGGCTTTGAACAGCCATCCTCAGATCTCAGCCACCTGTGCCTGGCTTCAAAAAAAATGTTGAAAAGACAGCAGTCAATCATGGATATCGATGTACTCAATCATTCTCAAGATATAGAGGAAGGAGACTAGTTGAGTAAAAATTGGGGAGACAAGCTGTTAGGGAAGGATTTCTGAGGTGAGTCCTCAAAGAACAGTGTTAGCCACATCAGGGCTGTGAAGATGGGACACTGGGTATCAGTCTACACAGCCATCAAGGTGGGAGTTAGCACAGAATTTTCCAGAAGGAGGTGTAAGCAGATAAGCAGTGCTGAAGATGAGGTTGAGGAAGAGACATGACGGTTTTCTGCATCAGGACCTGGCTGATTTCATTTGTTAAGCCATCAGCTCTTAGAAGTGATTGTAATAGGTATCTGTTGGATAATTATCCACTATTACCACTGGGAGGAGATATGCGTAGGTCTATGCAATCTACCATTAAGGAGCTTATGTTCTCTGTGAGAGGCACAGAACATACACGTGAATAATTAAATGTGAGGTACCAAATATGAGTTGCTGAATATAATTAAATATGAGGTACTAAAGTCAACTGGGATTTTAGAGGAGGAGGAGGAGAGGCTGATGAGGAGATAAGGGCCCACACTGGCTCTTATTTGGTGAGATTGGTCCAGAGGAGAGAAGAGGAAAGGAGGCATCATGCAAATTATCCTAAGGTATGCTTAGGCACAGTAAGAGGCTCACATGTTGTATTTTCTTTTATTTATTACTTATGCTGTTATCACCAACAGTGGCTACTTCCTACATGAACTTGTACACCATAAGGATACTGATTTCTCCAAGTTTAATGTATTTGGTTCCTGAAAGAATATGTTGAAGAATTTGAGCAGATCTAGGCATGATAGCACATGCCTGTAATCCTTACACTCAGGAGGTAGAGGCAAAAGTGTTGTGAGTTTGAGGCCAGCCTGGGCCGCATAATGAGCCCCTGTCAGAAACAACACCAACAATGACCAAAAAAAGTCTATTAGCAGAAAGCAAAGAATGTATGGTTTGCATCCATTAGATACGGTATATACTAGCTATATGTAAGACTTTTTGTTTTGTTTTTTAATGAGCAATTTGTGGAATTATTTCCTGATCTGCTTCTGTTGTAGATAGCTATAATTTTCTCCAAAACGCACCTCCTGGATTTTTTCCAAGACTTGGTGTTATTGGTTTTGCCGGATTTGTTGGATTCCTCTTTACTAGAGGTAGGTGAAGTTTTGTCTTTATTTATTTTTTATTTTTTTAGCTGTTCATGTGGGAGGGAAGATAAACATTTAGTTCTTCTCTTTTCATTTTAAGATACTGAGTTGATTCCTGAATATGGCCTTCGTAATATATAATTAATATGGTTGTTAGCAATCATTATTTGACTTTATATTTGACTTTAAGCATACATATATAAATTGCATACTCTTGGTAAAAAAAAAATTATTCTTAAATATCCCATTTACTTGCTTCAATTCCTATTGCTCTTTAGTATAGTTTTTCATGCCTAACCAAAAAGCTTTTTGAGTACTTCACCAACCAAGCTACCAATCACAATAAATTTTTTCTTAAATACAAGTATATTATTATTAAGGTGTTGTACAGAGGGGTTACCATTCATGAGTCAGCTAATGACCAAGTCAGACATATTTCTATTTGGACAATGTCACCCCTTCTTCGCTTTCCCTTACTTTCCCCCCTCCCACAATAAATTTATTACTGAGAGTTTATTAACTTGATGTGTCATGTTTATAGTCAGTGTTGATGTAACAACTTTAAACTGCTTACAATTAAAAATTAATGAATTAGCAAGTTAAAAATACTACTCTGGGAGCTTGAGGGTTGGGAAGAGTTCAGTGGCAGTGTACTTGCCTAGTGAGTGCTGGATTCAATCCCAAGCACCAAAAATTATTACTACTTTCCATTGCTTGATTACAGAATAAAATTAGAAATAAAGGCTGGTAAAAGGCTTTTCTCTGATGAAATTAGTTTTTATGAACTGTTTAGTTTCACTGATTGTAAGATATATTGACAATTTAAATTTGATTGTAAAATATATTGATATATTGATAATATAAAACTTAGATGTTGCAAAAGTGCCTTATAGAGCTATCCCAATACAGAGAATGCTGTAATCGAAACCCCATGAAAGAGAACCATATTTTGATACGTCTCAGTTTAGAACTCTTCCTCTTTAGGCATTATGTTTATTTTCAAGTCTGGAGGGCAGGTGTACTGTCGCTGCTCACAGTTTCCCTATAATATGAACATGTGTTATAGTCTCCAGGCCGTCCTCCTATCTTGAAAGTAGTAACTAATAATAATAATAATAGGAATAGTGCTAGACACTGGTGGGTCACGCCTGTAATCCTAGCTACTCAGGAGGCTGAGATCTGAGGATGGCAGTTTGAAGACAGCCTGGGCAGAAAAGTCCCAGTGAGGCTCTTATCTTCAAATAACCACTCAAAAGCCAGAAGTGGAGCTGTGGCTCAAAGTGGTAGAGTGCTAGCCTTGAGCAAAAAGAGCACAAGGACAATGCCAAGGCCCTGAGTTCAAGCCTCACAACTGACTAAATAATAGTCATAGTAATAATAATATTTCCAGATCAGTTTTAGTAGTCACCTTCCAGCCAACATTTTTTTCACAAACTTCTTCCTCTTTCTTGCAAAGCTATTCAGAAAAAAGGTTCCCTTTTCATTTAGACAATGTTTGGGATTGATAGGCATCCCACGGCCAGGGTGCTAGTATAGAAGGGCCTGAGATGATTAGCATCAGAGGAGGTCACCAAGCAAGGGGACCACGGTGATAAGTATGCCTTTGGATGGCCAGAGCAGGTGCCTTCAGGGAAGTTGGTACCTTAAGCTGGCAGTTGCAGTATGAGCTCAGGGGTCCCTCCTGATAAGGTTCCTTGAGTGCATCTGCTAAGTTATGTGAGTAGCATGCCCATGACTTTGGCAGCAACCGGAGGCTCACAGAGAGATGGATGACTTCCCTACACCTCTCACTGGCTTTGTGGGAGGAATGAGGATGAAGATTGGGGAGAGGAATATGCTCATACCTCCTTTCTGAGGTTCTGGGAGGGCCCTCCCGTCCAGCTCATTGAGAGGTCTGGCAAAAGTTTGTGGTCTAAGACTTACCACTTGTAGGGGGCTGGGAAGGTGGCTCAGTGGTAGAGTGCTTGCCTTGTATGCCTGAGGCCCTGGGTTCAATTCCTCAGCACCACATAAGCAAAAAGAAAAAGAAAAAAAAAGCTGGAAGTGGTGCTGTGGCTCAAGTGGTAGAGCGCTAGCCTTGAGCTGAAGAGCTGAGGGACAGCGCCCAGACCCAGAGTTCAAGCCCCACTCCCGGACCCCCCCCCCAAAAAAAAGAGCTACCACTTGTTACCTTTCCCAAGGGAGGTGAAAAGGGCTCCTAGATGGTACCCATTTGAACTACCCAGGTGCTCAAGTGGACATGAGAGACCCCAGGGTAACAGGATTTTCTTTTCTAGGATAATCATATACTTTCAATACAGGCAATAAGACTTGCAGAAAAATATTTAACTTGCTGGGCATCAGTGGCTCACCCCAGTAATCTTAGCTATTCAGGAAGCTGAGATCTGAGGATCATAGTTCCAAGCCAGCTGGGGCAAGAAAGTCCATGAGACTCTTTATCTCCAATTAATCACAGAAAAAGCCAAAAGTGGCCCGGTAGAATGCTAGCCTTGAGCAAAAGGAGTCCAGGGACCGGGCCCACTTCCAGAGTTCAAGCTCCAAGACTGGAAAAAAAATCAAGTTTAAAACCAATTTCCACCACTTCTATTATTATGTGTATAGGCCCATTCAGTGGAGACTATTTCTTGGATCAAGTTCATATGCCTTCTGTTTTACCCCTTATCAATTGTTTTTCCCCCTGATTCTCAGGTTTCTCTAAACTCATCATCCTGCTGAGTATTTTCACCTCTTCTCCATCTGCTCCTCGGCTCTATCTCCTCCTGCAGCTGGCTTGAGATCTCAACACAGCTGTTTTTCCTTGAGCCCCCTTTTTTCATTTGAGCCCCCCTTTTCCTGGATTTCTGTGTTGTCTTCCCTTCATTTATCCTGCCATGTTCTTAAGCTGCATGCTTAAATCATTTGCAAAAAAGGTCTGTTGGAGACCAATTTCCCAAGACCTTGAGTGTCTGCCCTCATACCAAGGGACCGCTGGGATAGTGATGGAAATTGTTTTCCATTGAAACTTTGAAAGATGTACCTTCTAGCATCTGGTCGTTGCCAATGGAAATGTAGATTACTAGTCTGGATGCTTGCTGCTTCTGAAGTGACTTTGTTTTCCTTCCTAGAAGCTTTGAGGGTCTTATTTTAATATCTGAATGTTCTGAGATTCCATGTTGCCATAAGTCGATGTGGATGTTTTCATTCCTTGGTTGGACATTTTGGTAGTTCGTAGCCTTCAGCTGGAGGATGATATCTGCCTGGTCTTTGACAATGCACTCTCTTTTTCCTTCCTGAGCTCATTAACTAGCACATTGATTTTTTTGTTGTTGTTTTGTTGTTTTTTTTTTCTTGTCGGTCATGGGGCCTGAACTCTGGGCCTGGGTTCTGTCCCTCAGCTCTTTAGCTCAAGGCTAGCACTCTACTACTTGAGCCACAGCACCACTTCTGGCTTTTTCTGCTTATGTGGTGCTAAAGAATAGAACTCAGGGCCTCATGCATGCAAGGCAAGCTCTCTACTACTGAGCCACCTTCCCAGCCCCAAATTGGGTTATTTTTTAATGACCTTAAATGTCTCCTATATTTCATAATTATTTTATTTTATTCATTTTGAATATTTAACTTTTTCATTTTCATGAGCTTTTCCTTGTTCTCTGAATGTCTCATGTTTTTCATAGAATTCTTTTTTTCTTTTAATGTAGTAGCTTCTTGAATTTATTTGATCATATTTAATAACAGGTTTAGTTTTGTTTTGAAGTTCTATTTCCTGTAGGGTAAGGTTTTTGGTTTGTTTTTTTTTAATTCTTGCTTGTTTCTGTCTTTCTCTTTTATGTTGTAGGCTGTCCTCCAAAGTCTTGGTTGTCTGGTCATGTTTCAGAATGAGGCAGCTGAAACACTAGTAAGAAGTCTTTTTGCATAGATGGGGCTTGCTAGCAGGGCAGGTTCTAACCTTAGATGAGGTTGCCTGGATCCAGGGCCACCAGTGAGAGGAACACTTTGCTAACAGGCACCCACACAGTCTCAACTTCTGCCGAAGGCTGACACTCTACCACTGGAGCCACAGCTCTGGTTCTGGGTTTGTGTTGGTTAATTGGAGATCGGAGTCTCACAGATTTGTTTTTGAACTTGCTCTGAACCCTGATCCTTAGATCTCAGCCTCTTGAGTAGCTAGGATTATAGACATGAGCTACTGTGCCCAGCCCTATCCTGTTTTAAAAATTGGGCCTAGCTAGAAGCACTTTGGCACTGAGATGGCATGTGAAAAGGAATGGGTCAACTTGGCCCTGCATAGGACTTGGACTTGTCCTGTTGTCTTGATCCCTGGTTGCCATCACTACTCCTTGCAGTAGTACCTGCCAGCTCTGTGTAGGGAAGCTCTGCTCCTTCTTTGGCTGCAACCCCTCCTTAGCATTGCCTGCTCTCTTATTCCTATTCACTCCCTAATTTATGAAAATTTGTTAACACTTAACTTGCTGGTCTTGGGGCATGAACTTAGGGTCTGGGCACTGTCACTGAGCTTTTTTGCTCAAGAATATCACCCTCCCACTTGAGCCACAGCTCTGCTTCTGGCTTTTTGGTGGACATAAGCATCTCATGGATTTTCCTGTCTAGGCTACCTTTGAACCATGATCCTCATATCTTCATTTCCTTTGTAGTGAAGATTACATGTGTGAGCCACCAGTGCCTGGCTAACACTTTTTTTATGGTACTGGAGAATGAGCCCAGGGCTTTGTACTTGTTATATAATCATTCTACCTATGAGCTATACCCTCAGCTGATTAGCATTCACTCTCTGCCAATGCCACTCTAGCCGTTTCCTCTTCGCTATGGGCTCATTGCTCTGTGTTTTATTCTTTACTATTTATTTTAATGGAATTTCAGAAAGGAGAGGAATAGGACAAGGAAGGTAATTTACTTTAAAACCTCTAGGAACTAAAATACTGGCACTTGAAAGTTTTTCAAAAGTTTTTTATCTGCTTCCTTAGAAATGATTGTTCTTTGTTTTCCTTTAAAACTTTTTTGAATTGTTATCATTAAGGTGATGTATAGGGGTTTACAGCTAGATAAGTCAGGCAAAGAGTACATTTATTTGTGGACAGTGTCACTCCTTCCTTCACTCTCTTCCAGTTTTTTTCACTCCCATCCTCAAATGATAGTTCTTTTTTGGGGGGGTAGGTCCGGTCTTGGGGCCTGAACTCTGGGCCTGGGCGCTGTCCCTCAGCTCTTCAGCTCAAGGCTAGCACTCTACCACTTGAGCCACAGCGCCACTTCCGGCTTTTTTCTTTTTGCTTATGTGGTGCTGAGGAATCGAACCCAGGGCCTCATGCATGCAAGGCAAGCGCTCTACCACTGAGCCACCTTCCCAGCCCCCACATGATAGTTCTTAAGCCAGGTGTGGTGGCACATGCCTGTAATCCCAGCATTTGAAGTACTTGGGAGGCTGAGGCAGGGGGATCATGATCTCAAGTGTAAATAGTGAGTTAAAAACTAGTCTGGATGACATAAAAGAGACTGTTAAAATAATCAAAAAAGAAATAGTGGTTCTCTTGAGAACATCTGTTGAGTTAGAGATGTCAGTCATGAAAGGCCACACATTATATGATATGTTCACAGTAGGCAAATCAATAGAGATAGAATGCAGATGGTTTTGGTTGAAGGGTTGGAAGAGGGAATTGGGGAGTGACTATTAATGAGTGTCCCTCCCTCACTCATCCTTCCCTCTCTCCTTCCTCCTTATCTGTCTATCTGTTGCCAGTCTTGGGGCTTGAACTCAAGGCCTGGGCACTGTCTCTTAGCCTCTTTGTGCACTCTACCTCTTGAGCCACAGCGCTATTTCCGGCTTTTGCTGAGTAATTCATTGGAGTCTCATGGACTTTCCTGCCCAGGCTGGCTTTGAACTATGATCCTCAATCTCAGCTTCCTGTGTAGCTAGTATTATGGGCGTGAGCCACTGGCACCTAGCCCTCCTCCTTATTTTTCTTCCTCTTCCTCTTCTCTCTCTTTCTTACTCAGGGCCTTATGAATGCTAAGCACATGAGCTACACCAGCCTATAGGTAGGGGTTTCTTTTGCGGATGATAAAATTGGTTTTGATGATGGTTATACAACTCTGTGAATATACTAAAAGTCCTTGAATTCTATACTTTAAACAGGAAGATTATATGAAGGATATCTCAAAACAAATTTGGTGTACATACTGTTATTAAATATATATTAAATATATATTAAATATATCCTCTCAACTTAGGGCCAAAGAAATCTTACTCAATATTAAATGTTTAAAGGAGATTGTGATGTTGATTATAACAATCACCTAATGGTGTGTGCCACCTTTTATTTATTAGGCTCAAAAATAAAGAAGATAGTATATCCGCCTACTTTCATGGGATTCGCTGCCTCTATCTATTACCCACAACAAGCCATTGCGTTTGCCCAGGTAAGTTACTACTCAGTCGGCTATAGTGTTCTTCATTCTTGTTTGTGTGCAACTTGTGGGTTTGCTGCTTAATTTTGTTTTATTTTGTAGGGTTTTTTTGGAGGGGGCATTCTTGGGGCTTTAACTCAAGGCCTGGGCACAATCCCTGAGCTTTTGTGCTCAAGGCCAGCTGCCACTTGTGCCACAACTCAAGCCTTAGCTTTCCTGCCAGGGTTGGCTTCGAACCAGTCTTCAGATCTCAGTCTCCTGAATAGCTAGGATTATAGGAGTGAGCCACCAGTTCTGGCTAGTTTTCCTTCTTATTCTGTCATTTTTGCTATCCTTTTTATATGTGTTTTGGTTTTTATTTGCTCTCTTCATTTTTTTCCCAGTCCTGGGGCTTGAACTCAGTGTCTGGGCACTGCCCCTGAGCTTCTCTGTGCTCAAGGCTAGCACTCTACCACGTGAGCCACAGCACCATTTTTGGCTTTTTCTGTTTATGTGGTGCTGAAGAATCGAGCCCAGGGCCTCATGCATGCAAGGCAAGCACTCTACCACTGAACCACATTCCCAGCCTCTTTTCAGTTTTCACTTTTTCTTTTTCTCTTTCTTGTCTTTTTTTTGTCTGTTGTGGGGCTTGAACTTAGAGCCTGGGCACTAAGGTTTTTCACTCAAGGCTAGTGCTCTACCACTTGAGCCATAGTGCCACTTCCAGCCTTTTCTGAATAGTTTATTGAGATGATAGTCTCACAGACTTTCTTGCCTGGGCTGGTATTGAACCATGATCCTCAGATCTCAGTCTTCTGAGTAGCTAGGATTACAGGCATGAGCACCAGCACCTGGCTCTTGCTATCTTTTTACTTGCTTATGTTTCACTGATTTTTTTTTTCTGTACCAATCCTGGAGCTTGAACTCAGGGCCTAGGTGATATCCCTGAGGTTTTTTTTTTTTTTATTTTGCTGGCACTCTAGCATTTGAGCCACAGTTCAATTTCCAGATTTTTGGTGGTTAATTAGCAATAAGAGTCTCCTGGACTTTCCTCTCTGGGCTGGCTTTGAACCACGATCCACAGATCCTAGCCTCCTGAGTAGGTAAGATTACAGATGTGATCCACTGTTGCCCAACTCATTGTTACACAGACATCCTATAGTAGTCATTTCCCTTAGAAATAGGAAAAAAGAAAGCTGAATATTCTCTTCTTTACCAGTCACATATGGAATAGTAGCAGATGCTTTCTATTTTGTTTCTAGGTCACTGGGGAAAAGCTGTATGACTGGGGTTTACGAGGATACATAGTTGCAGAAGATTTGTGGAAGGAACACTTTCATAAGGTAAAAAATAATCATTTTCATTATCTTCCATTTGGTTTAAATGTGTAGTTTTTCTAGATGTGTAAGGTGTTGGATAACCCTATTGCTTCAGTTGCCCTTTTTTGTCTGTTTTTATTTTTAGCTTTTTCTGTTTGTTTTTGTTCTAAGTTTCTAACTTAGAATTTTCTAGTAGTGTTTATTATCAGCTGGGTCAAATAAGTGTTGACTGTCCAAGGCATTTCACCTCAGCCTTAGACCCTAATTTCTACTCTATTTATAGTTTGCTCCAAGTATAGCATATTATGTAAAAACTTTTATCAGGGGCTGGGAAGGTGTCTCACTGGTAGAGCGCTTGCCTTGCATGCATGAGGCCCTGGGTTCCATTCCTCAGCACCACATAAGTGGAAAAAGCTGGAAGTGGCACTGTAGCTTAAGTGATAGAACGCTAGCCTTGAGCTGAAGAATTGAGAGACAGTGACTAGGCCCAGAGGTCAGGCCCCACGACTGACCAATAAAAACAAAACAAAAACAACAACAACAAAACTTTTAGCAAAAGTGGATTCAAAGGGGAATATACTCTGCTCCCTTAGGGGTGGGGAGACATCATTGAGATACCCCTCTTCTTATTACCATAATCTTGGTTAGTTCCTTGAGCAATAATGAATCTGTTTATTGCCCAGCTGAGGGCAGGAGCCATGGTGTGTTGAGAAGCAGCTACCTGCCACAGGCCATATTCTTTGTGCCATGAGCAACGGAGGGAGGAGCTTGTGTAATCATAAGGATGTGTCACCTTTCATCTTTTCTCCCAGCCACATGGCCGACTATGGCCATGAGTGCTGGGATGTCCTCTTTCTCCTGAAAAGATAGAATGTATATGGAACAGAGATCCTATTCTCTACACATTCAGAGGCAAAGGCAGCTAAGGGAAAAGCAGGGTTCTTATATTCATAGACCTTCTACATTATAGACTGAGGGAAGTTCATTTTAACTCTGGTTGTTTTACTCAGAAATACTCTTTTCAGAAATATATAAATCAAACTGATAGCTCATGCCTATAATCCTAGCAACTTCGGAAGGCTGAGAAATAAGGATTGAGGTTCAAAGCTAGCCTAGGTAGACAAACCGGAGAGAGACATATCTCTAATTCACCAGCAAAAAGCCAGGAGTTGAGGCATGGCTCATGTGGTAGAGGACCAGACTTAATAAGAAAGCTAAGTAAGTGCTCAAGTGTGAGTCCAAGCCCCAGTACCAGCACAAAAGAAAAAAAAGAAATATATAAATTAAAGGGTTGAGCCAGGCACTGGTGGCTCATGCCTCTAATTGTAGCTACTCAGATGGTTGAGATCTGAGGATCATGGTTCAAAGTCAGCCGGGGCAGGAAAGTCTGTGTGACTCTTATCTCCAATTAAATCACAGAAAAAGCCAGAAGTAGAGCTATGGCTCAAGCGGTAGTGTATTAGTCCTGAGCAAAATGAACTCAAGGACAGCGCCCAAGCCTAGAGTTCAAGCCTTAGGACTGCAAAATTTTTTTTAAAAAATGAAGCCAGTCACTGGTGGCTCACACTTGTAATCCTAGCTACTCAGGAGGCTGAGATCTGAGGATCACAGTTCAAAGCCAGCCCAGCCAGAAAAGTCTGTGAGACTCTTGTCTCCAATAAACCACTCAGAAAACTGGAAGTGGCGCTGTGACTCAAGTGGTAGAGTGCATGCCTTGAGCTGAAGAGCTGAGGGACAGCGCCCAGGCCCAGAGTTCAAGCTCCACTACTGACAATAAAAAAAAAAGAAAGAATGGGGTAGAGATATATAGCACAGTGATAAAAGTGTGTGTTTAGCATATACAGGAGCTTGGATTGGATCCTGAGTACTCTCCAAAAACTAGCTCAAAATAGCTGTAATTTTGAAGAATTCAGAACTAACAAAATAAAATATGATCCCTTCTCAATGTATATATAATCTTCCAGTGAAATCTGATTTTTGTACTGATGGTTTCCAAAGGAATTAGTCACTCTTGGGTCCTTTTAAACTAACTCTTGAGTGGGAAGTTCTGGACCACTGTCACGTGTCCCCTGGCAATCCTTTTTAAAGAATAAACAGTTTTATTTTCACTTCTCTGACATTTTCTTTGGAAGCCTTCTTTCCTGTTTCAAAAATGCTTTTAACAAGTCCTCACAAAATTTTTATTTGGGAAAGGAAATAGAAATGTCAGGAAAATAGTATACAGCCTAGAAAGAAGCACAGAAAATGAACCTGAATCAGCCTCCTCCAGAGCACTGTCTCTGTGTAATCACACAGCAAAGCCAGAGAGGGTTCCTGACAGGGCTGTGGTGTCTGCAGACAGGCATACACACTAAAGCCAAAGTGGGGCATTGACTTCTCGAAGTGTTCAGTCTGGGCCGGGTGCCAGTAGCTCACACCTTTAATCCTACCTATTCAGATTGAGATCTGAGGAACATGGTTCAAAACCAGCCAGGGCAGAAACGAGAGACCTTTATCTTCAATTAAATATCAAAAAGGGGCTGGGAAGGTGGCTCAGTGGTAGAGCGCTTGCCTTGCATGCATGAGGCCCTGGGTTCAATTCCTCAGCACCACATAAGCAAAAAGAAAAAAGCCGGAAGTGGCACTGTGGCTCAAATGGTAGAGTGCTAGCCTTGAGCTGAAGAGCTGAGGGACAGCGCCCAGGCCCAGAGTTCAGGCCCACAACCGGACCCCCCAAAAATAATAATAAATAAATAAAATAAATATCAGAAAGCTGGAAATGGAGTTGTGGCTTAAGTGGTAGAATACTAACCTTGAGCAAAATAGCTCAGGGATAAAACACTCAGGCCCTGAATTCAAGCCCTAGGAGTGATGCCCGTACAGACAGACAAGACAGACAGACAGACAGACACACACACACACACACACACACACACACATCTGGTACAGGGCTGTGGTTGTAACACAAATTAGAAAGGCCAGTATTTGGTAGTGATTTGTTAACCCTTTTAAAACTACTGAGAGGGCTGGGAAGGTGGCTCAGTGGTAGACTTCTTGCCTTGCATGCATGAGGCCCTGGGTTCGATTCCTCAGCACCACATAAGCAAAAAAAAAGCCGGAAGTGGTGCTGTGGCTCAAGTGGTAGAGCTGAAGAGCTGAGGGACAGTGCCCAGGCCCAGAGTTCAGACCCCATGGCCAGACCAAAAAAAAAAATCTACTGAGATTTAAATGTGAGTCCTTTGGGAATAGAATGGTTAAGATTTCTAATTAGTTGGTGATTGGTTTGCATTTCTTTCTGTGCTACACCTTTCCCCTGCTCAAAGTCAATAAGGACTTAAAATGTTCTCCCATTTGTTTACCCTGCCAGCTGTGTGTTCTCAATAGAAGGCAGTAAAATTGATTTGCGAACATTAAACATTTACTACCAGTTTTAAATGAAAAAGTAGCAGACGGCTCTTTTAACATTTGGTTGGTATGGATTTTAGAAATTATTTGATATTGAAGGGCCTTTGGTTTTCTATCTCCTACCCCCCCACACCTGACCCTAAAACAGGAATTTTTGGGGGCCCCTGATGCTGAGTATGTGGGAGTGGGGAAACGATGATGTTCTACATCTGGCATTTCACTCATTAGCTGTAGTATTCCAATAAGGAATATCTTATCCTCTACTTTTCCTCGTTTACTATTTAGTTACCCAGTCATAGCTATTATACAAAAAGCAGAATAAATGTTTTATCTTTTTGTGCATTTATTTCAATATTTTTGTCAATTGGAATTGTTCTTTTTAAAATCTTTTTATTTTCTTGAAGTAGTTGGACAGAGGTGTTGCCATTCAACAAAACAGTTTATGACTACAATGACCAGTGCCACCCCTTCAGCGTTCTCCTCCATTCCTCCCCTAACCACCCCTTCCCTCCCCTATCCACCCCTCCCTCACTGTTCTTAATTTTGTAGGATACGCATTGATTTTTTTTTACTGCATTCTCCCTCTTTCTTCTCTTCATTGGTAAATATCAGTATGAATTAAAATATTTGCTCTATTTGAATATTTTATCATGCTTGTCCTTATTTGCAGTTCAGAGTGTTCCATTTTGTTAGTAGAAGCTGACTCTGGACATTTATTCGTTTTTTTTTTCTTTTTTCTTGTTTTGGTCTGAGACTGGGACTCCAACTTGGTACGTGATGCCTTTGCTCATTGGCTAGCACTTTACTAACCGAGGCAAGCATCCATCCTCAACATTTATTGGTTTCTTATTGAAATGTCTGTTTTAAGTCTTTGACCATTTTTGTATATAGATCACTATCTTTTTCTTACTGATTATAAGTAGTATTTTTCCTATATATTAATATTTTGACTCCAAGTTTTTAATTGTCTTCTTAATTTAGGGCTTGTGTTTTCAATTTTTAGCTTTATTTTGGAGGGGAGGGTAGTTTGAAACAAGGTCTTACTATGTAGCGCAGGCTTGCTTTGAACTCAAGATCCTTCTGCTTCTGCTTTGTGCTGGGATTATAAGTGTCGACCACTGTGCTCAGCTCAGGTTTCTTCTTTTGATAAACAAAAGTTTTCATGTCGTTGGCTTAATGAATTTCACTGTTTTACTCCACGAGCTTAATAAAAGCATGAAATGTTTATTGATTATTTATTGCTCATCTGAAACCCTTTCAGAATAGTTGCAATGTAAGATCTGAATATCAGAGATGGAGGCTATAATGGAGGTTTGGCTCAAGTGGTAGAG